TAAAATGTTTTCGCTTACAGTCAAAAGATCCGAATAAACCTCCACCTATTATAGTTGAGACGACTGATATTGTCACCAGAAATAATATTGTTAAAACAGCCCGGCGTGAATTTGAAGGCATCTATGTTAATCCAGATCTGACAGAAGCACAAAGAAGACAAGATAGACAATTACGAGACGAGTTGAAAAAGAAAAACGAGCCTCTTAATTTAAAAAACAAATGCAAGTCATTACTACGTTATTCGTAATACTGCTGTAGTTAAAGTAGACAAATAGCAATCAACAGTAAGTAATTTAAAACCATATAATGACAATTTAAATATAAACGAAATTTCTTTTGAGCGTAAGTCATTTTCAACTATAAGTCTACGACAACAGTCAGCTTTCCATAAAATACCATGCTGTTATACCAATGCTACATCCCTTAACAATAAAATGCCAGAGTTTCTAGCATCAATTGAGACATACAACCCTAAAATAATCTTCGTTACAGAAACTTGGTGGCATGAATCATCGATAACTAACATTGAAAACTATATGTTATTCAGAAAAGATCGCGTTTCCAGTCGAGGAGGTGGGGTGGCTATTTATGTCGACACTTCATTAAAACCTAATGAAGTAAGCGAAATTATTTTATTAGATTCCCCTAAACAAATTTGGTGCGAAATATCGTACGGTTCTGAACACATCCTTCTGGGTTGCATATACTGGCCACACATGCTAGATCCACTCAAGAATATTGAAGCGTCCATTATTAAAGCAAATGAACTTCTGTCTAAAATATGCAGCGGCTTGTTGATTTGTGGAGACTTTAATTTGCCAGGGATTAACTGGGATTCGAGCAGTATCACAACTATCAGCAACACAGATACCCTTTCAAGTAATTTTATTGACATCCTTGCCGAATCGTTTTTGATACAATTTGTTACTAAGCCCACTTTTCAACTTGATGAAATTACATCGAACAACACTCTTGATCTAATTATAGCCGAAAATGAAAATCGGGTCCTCGATATTATTCACCATGCACCTTTAACGTCTCTGAAGAAATCTCACCACGTCCTTCAATGGGATTACATTGTTAAAAGCGCTGCAGTTGTAGGAAAACACATTGAAAAACGCATTTATCATAAAAGTAACTTTGTAAAGATATCCAAATATTTTAACAATATCAACTGACAGATGGAATTCAATGGAAGCAATACTGATGACTGTTATAACATTTTCCTAAACCACTACGAGGCTGCATGCAAAACTTATGTCCCAGTGACTAAATCAAAATGGATTCGTCGTAGAAGCAAATGAATGAATGACGACATCAAGAATACAATAAAAACTAAAAATAAACTATGGTTTCGATGTAGAGCGAATGAATATAAAAATCTTAAAATAGTCAACGAATACAAAGCGGGTAATATTCAATTAAAGAAGCTCATATATAAAGCTCGTTGTGAGTTTGAACTTGATTTAGCGATAAAATCGAAGCACAACCCAAAGATCCTGTTCAAGTATGTTAATAGCAAACAAAATCGTAGAACTTCAATAACAGCCTTAAAAGGAATCAATGGCGACACTATCACAAATCCAATAGAAATTGCAAATCGGCTGAACAATCATTTTCAAAGTGTTTTCAACAAAAATGAAGACGATGAACTGCCTTATTTTATAAAACGAACTGAAGCTATCTGCAAATACTCGCAAATAACGCAAGATCTGGTTAAAACAAGCTGAGCGATTTATCAGTTAATAAAACCGTTGGTTTGGATGGTGTAAACGCATATATATTGAAGAAATGTTCTGACAGTTTCTCAATAGTTTTACGCGCAATTTTTCAGAAGTCGCTAGATAGTGGGTGTTGTCCTGACGTATGGAAAAAGCTAATGTAACACCACTGTTAAAAAACGGAAGTAGACTCCCCAGGCAATTACCGGCATATATTCTTAACATCAGTTGTATGTAAAGTAATGGAGAAAATATTACGTGACACTATTGTCAATCATTTAGTCGAACATAGCCTTATTTCAAAAAATCAACATGGTTTTGTCAATAAAAAAAGCTTGTGTGACTAATTTGTTGGAGTCGATTGACATGAAGTCAAAAGCATTATCTGACAAGATATCTATGGACGTAACTTTTATAGATTTCAGTATAGCATTTAATATGGTTACCCACAAGAGACTAATTTACAAACTTGAGGCATATGGTTTTACTGGAAATCTCCTAAATTGGACAAAATCGTTTTTACTCCAGCGTTTTCAACGAATCGAGATGGGCAATTATGTTTCCTTGTGGCTTGAGGTATTTATTGGCGTCCCTCAAGGATCCGTATTAGGTCCAATACTTTTTATCATTTTTGTGAACAATATATCCGATATTGTTAACCATCCATGTAAAATGTATGCTGATGACACTAAACTGCTGGCTCGTTTAGACCACCCATTAGCTTCACAAATGCTTCAAACTGATATCTACAACATAGCCGATTGGTGTAAAACCTGGAAAATGAAACTTAATCTCGATAAATGTAAAATCATGCACATAGGTAAAAAAAAAACAACTTTTATGTCTACTCAATGCCAACTAATGACAATAACAGTGTCGAACTAGTATTGCCTTTAGTCGAACGTGATTTAGGCATCATGATTACGCCAGACTTAAAATTGCATAACAGTTCAACTTTTGCAACCAATAAAGCTACCCGTGTATTAGGCATATTGTATCGTACTTTCAGTCACATGACTCCGCAACTACTTAAAATTCTATATACAACCTTTGTACGACATCATTTGGAATTTGCGGTAGCAGCCAGTAATCCATCATCAAGAATAGATATTAACAAAACCGAGAAAGTACAAAGAAGAGCGACCCGTTTAATACCTTCGTACCGTCATATGTCGTACAAAGATCGTCTGATTATACTAAACTTAACGTCTTTAGAAACCCGTCGCATTAGGGAAGATCTGATACAGGCCTATAAAATTATTAACAATATAGACATTGTCTCATGGAGTGAACCCCATTCCTTCGTGTTGGGGAGTCAGATAAAATAAAAACTAGAGGACATCATCTAAAAATGACTAGAGAATATGTTCAAAATTGCGAGCAAAGGCATCAGTTTTTTACTAATCGAATAGTGAATCATTGGAATGTATTGCCGTCAGAAGTTGTATGCACTTCATCAGTTAACAGTTTCAAGGCTAAGCTTGATGCAGAAATTTCAAATAATCCGCATAAGTATCGAGATTATTACTAAAAAAAAAAAAAAAAAAAAGGAAAAACAATAAAGTACAAACTTATACTTCATACAATATATCTTATTGTAAATTTTTATATATTGATATTAATAAAATTAGTGTATGAAGTAGATACACTAATTTTATTAATATCAATATATAATATACTACTACTATATATATACTACTACTACTACTACTACTACTACTACTACTACTACTACTACTACTACTACTACTACTACTACTACTACTACTACTACTACTACTACTACTACTACTACTACTACTACTACTACTACTACTACTACTACTACTACTACTACTATTTACGAAGTACAAAGCACTATAAAAGTTTCTTTTACAGAGATCAAATAGAGTAGAGCAAAAATTGTTATTTTTCAAATGGTTTAAAACTATAATACAAAATTGCTCAAAAATTTAGTAAACTAAAATTTAAAAACTTAAAAAACATTAAAAAAAAAATTAAAATACTTTCAATATAAATACATATAAAAGGTTTTCATAACTAACATTGATGAATAAATAAATTATTGTAAAACTGCAAGTTGTATAAACTAATTCTGAACCGTGGACATAAAATTAGAGAATGCTTGCTTCAAAACTTTGCGGTTTATGATACTGCTACTTTTTATTGAAAAGCGCTTGTATTATACTTTTATATATAATGGTAAGATGGGGGAGATTGGGAGACACTTTTAATATTTTTTGGAAATTTTTCCCACCCATCTTAAACTTATAAAAACTCCCCGTTTATAAACTTATTTGTTATCAACAAAAAAAAAGGATTTTTATTTTCAAAGAATGCACTATTGTTACTATTGTTACTATTGTTACTTTTGTTTGTATTAAACAATTCATAGTATAACAAGAAATACACTATTGCCAGTAATAGTACACCAACAAACACACTATTGTCACAAATGCTCAGAATAAGATCGGAGACAAAGTTTTCATAAATCGATACAGATAAATGAATGCAATAGTGTTGCATACATTTATTAGTATTGACTTTTAAAAACTTTGTCTACGATCTGATTTTTCAATAATCTTTATCAAAAAGATATTTTTTTGAAATTTTATAATTAGTTGTATATAATATATTAAATAGAGTACTTTTAAGTAGTTTCACTACTTAGTAATTATCAGATTCACAGATATAAGAAAACCTATTGACGAAAGATCGCCGCGTATAATTGTTTATGTAATGCAAAAATGATATTGTTTTATGATCAAGTATTCTAGGATCTTGCAAAACAGCTTGTATAATTTAATTTTTAAAAAAAAGTTTTTTTAACTACCTTAACATGTAAAGGTAATGGATCCCGTTTTATTTTTAATGATGTTTCCATCTTCCAAAACAACTCGTTTAACTGCTTTTTTTTTTTTTGTAATAAATTTAACAATAAGTTAAACAACAATTGTAAACTTAAACAACAATTGTAAATTTTATTGTTTCAGTTTAGTATGAGAATTTTTTTTTTTTTTTTACATACCACTTTTGTAATAAAACTAAAATAAATTAAAAAAAAATAATAAAAATTTGTTAAGATGTATAATTGCATAATTGTATTGGCCCCATGTATAAAACTTTGCCGTTTGCATGGGAAAAAAATTAAATACAGCTTTTCCTCAACCACAAAAACAAAACTTGTATTGTTTAAATTAACTATTTTCTTTCACTATGTATATTGTCAACAATTTATTTATTTAAAATGTTAAAACAGCTCTAGCTTAAAATTTACACTACTGGAGAGAAAACTTTTTGAAGATCGGAGATATATGTTGAGATAAACGTACTTAAAATCATTAAATTAAAATTTAATATGTCTTATATGTAAATAATATTAAAAGATTTCTATTTTATTCAAATATCATATCATTTCAAATTGATATTTGAATCAATTAACTATAAAAATCCAAGCGAGTAAATTGCCTAAATTCAACTTAAAAGACAAGTTTTATAAAAAATATAATAGCTGATAATATAAAAAGAGCACACGATTGATGCGAAAAACAAGCATCACCACAAAACTCAGGTTGTTCTTCATAAATAAAATTTTCATTATAACAAACACCGGGAGAAGCTCGAAAGGTTTCTTCTTGAGTGCAAAAGGAGGCGGTTTGATCTTTTTCTTTTAACAACTCCAAAGTTTCTTTTCTACAGTTAATATCAGACGGAACATCCACATTAATAAATATCAAATTGGTTTTTGGAATAACAGCCAATACAAAATAAATGTATTTAGAAGGTGCACATTCAAAACGCAGAGAAGTTTTATTTTGATTACTTATGTTGGAGTAAACTTCATTCCATTTCTCAGTTTGAAATAAATAAAATGATACTATTTTAGAACAACTGATAAACCCGGAGCGAACAAACGCTTGATTTTTAACAGTGGATTCTTGAAGTAGAGCAACAACGAAAACAAAAGCATAATTTAAAACACGCCATGACAAATAAAAAATCCATCCTAAAAAAGTAAATAACATCTTTGCGGGTGTAAATAGAATATTTGAAGTGGACGAGTATGTTTTTGGCTCTGGACACACGGCTTGAGTGTCTTCAAGTTCAATCTTTTTGAATATTGAAACATTAGGTGTTGATAAATAAGACATTAGATTTCCTTGATATTTTCCAAAGAAAGTTCCTATTGAGTCATCACCTAGATTGCTGAAAACGATGTAACCGTTTTGATCAATAATAGCACAGGTGATTGTTGTGTTGGTTTTACAATTTAGTCCAATTGATTTTATGACATTGTCAAACATTTCTTTGAACAGTTCAAAATTAATTTCGGCTCCAGTAACTGATTTTAAAAAGAAATATAATAAAGCAAATAAACTAACAAAACATACAACTACGAGTACAGAAATTAAAAGTAAACTTTTGTTTTTACACTTAGAACACGGCAACATAAAAACAAAACTATATTTTCATAATAGAAAATATAGTTAAATTAGACAATAATTAAAATTATTTTTCATAATCAAAAATAATTTTCATACATACTTGCCATTAATACTTTTTCACCGTTACGTTTTATCCAAGATGAAGCTTTAATATGAATAATTTTTTTAACGAGTCCATATTGAACTGGCGCTGACACTATTATGTCTAAGTTAGGAAAAGATATTGCATCTTCAAACAAAGATATTCGAAGTCTATTGAGATCCGGTTTCGTAACTGTTTTGTTAATAGTAATATATCTAAAAATATATTCTAATAATATATTAATAAAAAGTGTAATTTAATTTATATAAGTAGCACATGTTTACTTTTTAACTTTTATAGCAATGATGGTGGATTAAGGAGGATGTTAGAACCATTACTTCCACCATCCCATTTTATAAAATATCTTTTTATGTAATATATTGATGTAGAAACTATTTTATTAAGATAAGATGATTATTTCTATTTTTTCCATCTATCTATCACTAGCTGGAGTTTGAAGACTTAAAAATAGTTTTAATAAAATAAGAATCGAAGAAGAACACGCAACAATATGAAGTTTTAATTACCTTTGACTCCAAATTGAAAATATAAATTGTATATAATAGTATAAACACCTTTTAAATAAAGCTAATAATATATATAAGATATGGTAATGCATAAAATGATTGGATACTTAATTATATATACTGATTAATTGTATAATTGATTGGATGCTTTGTTATATATACTGATTAATATTATAAAATGATTTGATACTTTATTATATATACTGATCAGAACAAACTAATATAACTTATAGGTAGAGACTAGAATTATCAAAGATATCAATTTTTACAAAGTATGTAGATCTTCATATTAGAATATTCGTATGAGAATAAGATATTAAAGGTTTAAGTTTTTTATTGAAAAGTAAAATAAGATAAAAATAAGGTAAAGTGCTAATGGTGGTAAGGTGGTAATATTGGTAAGGTGGATGCCAGAAAAGGACATATTAGGTAAGGAATTAGTTATAAGATAAATATTAAAGTATGAAATAAAAGTATGAAATAAAATACATGTTGGTAAAATGTGCTTATGAACAGCATGTTGATAATAGCTTGGAAATGTGCTTTTAAACAGCATGTTGATAATAGCTTGGAAATGTGCTTATAAACAGCATGTTGATAATAGCTTGGAAATGTGCTTATGAACAGCATGCTGACAGTAGTTAGGAAATTTTAAAAAAGAATTAGCTAATACTTCACACACATAAAACAAATTTGTTATTTTTTTCAGAGTTTGTTTAAAATATAAACACTTTTCCTCGTGCCTACATCAGAATTACTAGTTAAAAGAATTCATACCTTTTAATTGATAATATTTAATTTCATTTTTTTACAAATTAGTAATAAAAAATCATCATTATCCTAAACACATTTACGTAAACTTGTACACGCATACACACTCACTTTATTTTACACATTTACACATACACGCACAATTTATTTTACACATATACACATGCACGCACAGTTAATTTTACACATATACATATACACACAGTTATATTTGTTTTAAAAAATTTTAGAACTTTATCTATTTTCAACTGTTTATCTTTTTAATTTTTTTCACGAGTATCTAAATTTCTCACAACAAAATACTATTTTATGTTGAAAGTCAAAATTAAAGTTGAACTTGTCAACTTGTATGTTAAACTACCAGTACATAAAATTTGAAAAAAACCTACACACACTTACTACACTACACTTACTTACACTTTTAGTAATTTTCCATTAGCAAATAAAAAACTTACACATTTTTTACTTTAAACCATCCAATACAAGTTTTGAAAACTTGTACTAGACTATTCTAATTTTTTGTCACTTCTCTTGCATATTTTGTTTTTATGTTACATACCTTGTTTTATATATTCTTATTTTATTAACCTTGTTAACTTTTTCCAACATACCTTGTATAACCTCCTGAAGTGGATACGTAAAGTGATTGAAATAAAGTATTTTTTTTTACACTTCCAGTTTGATGAAACTGACAACTTTCATTAACGTACTTGTGAACTATTGCAGCTGTCACTAGTAAATTACTGATTAGTTCTTCGTTACATCGATCATTAATATCTTCAATTTTTTTATAAACGGATAAAAAGGAGTGAAGGTCGGCGACTGAAAGAAAGTTTTTTACGTTGTTGTTTGTTTCACTATACATCCATTTTAATTTGCTGATTATTAGTTTGTCACAAAACAACCAATTTGGTATATCTACGAAAGTACTGTAGTGAGAATTGTTTGTTGCATTTTCATGTGGATCTACATATAATGCATTAACTCCTTTTTTGAATAACGAATTAACTATTGAGCGGTTTACTTTGTAATAAAATATGTCCGTCTCACTAATTGCATATGATGCGCTTATCTCTGAATAATAGATTGGATTAAAATAATGTGTGACGTTAGTGATCATTATCTTGCGATCATTGTCATACAACCAAAATATAGGAAACTGCATTGATTCATTTTTTCCTTGTAACATTTTTTCTTTTAACATTATAGAGTCGTTTTTATTTACACTATATTCTAAATTTTCTAGTAATACATTTATTGGAGATGGCAGATAACCATGCTGAGATCTAAATTTTGGGTGTTCAACTACAAATCCGTTTTCATTGATTACTAATAAATGACTAAACAACCCTAATTCATATTCAGGAACAGCTAACTTAAATATACTTAAAAGAATATCGATTCCAACTACACCGCTTATTTTTTTATCGTTAAAAACACCTAAAGACATTGTCAACACCATGTTTCTTCCGGAAGAATCTAAATAAACTGGAGATAATGTTGGCTTTATGTCATCTTTATGACTTGCCAATGATCGACTCAACACCTCTAAATACCCTACAACAGAATCCCAAATGTTACCAAGAGTTTCTATTTTATAAAAATACCCTCGGTTATTACAAGACATTTCTTTTAATGCTCGGTCGTTAGGATTTTTTACTCGACCTACAAGATATGAAAACACACGAACATTTTTTTCAGAATTCATTTTGTCGAATACAACTTTGCCAGCGTTATTGTAATTGCCTTCCAATCCATCACTTATTACAATGATAAGTTTATTACAACCGACTCGATAAGTTCTATTATTTCCTCTTTCAGCTGTTTTAAAAATATATTTTTAAAAAACTTTAAAAACTATTTGAAAAAAAAAATACTATAAATAAAAAAATATATAAATATCAATTTTTTGATTAATAATAATAACGTTAATTAAATATACGAGACAACTATTTTATATGTAATCTAGCAAACATTGTTTCAGTGGATTTGCAGTAGACCTATATAAGCATTTTGAGCGGTTCATTGTTGTTTTGCTCATTCGTTATTTTGTGGACCATTAGTGGCTACCGCTCTAAATAGCCAGCGAAAAACTTTTCGACATGATAAATGTGGTTAGTCATTGGCTATCAATTTTTGTTAGCTGCCATTGATGGTTCACTAAGTAACCGATGAGCAAAACTACAGTGGACTGCTCAAAATGAATATATATGTCCATTGAAATTACGCTATAGAATGTTTGCGAAAAGTGATTGGGGCTTGTTTTAAATGAGATTTTTCTTTCCATTTTTTAATCATAATTTTTTTGAAGTTGGAACTACGGTTGATTTATATTTGGAATGCGGAATATACCGGGTGAACACGTAACTGCGTTACGCTCAAATTCAAGGCTCTATCTATGCTTGTAAATATCCGTAGATCTATTTGTTTACAAATTACGCAATGATATCAACACAGAAAAAAAAATGTAAAAATTAAAAAAATTTAATTAAAATGGATGTGCAAGAATCAAAAAGACGAAGCATTCTGCAAATGTTCTAATCGGATAAGACTACATCAGATATCAGAAAGAAAGATTTGGCCCATGTTTTGCATATAGATATTTTTAGTGACTTGGTACTTCCATGGGGAATCTTGCAAGCCTCCTTCTACACAGTCGTCCACATAAAAAAGTCTAATGGGTTCAGATGGGGGCCACTTTAATTTATCCCAGTACTGACTCATATTTTCACTGAGAAAACTTTGTATCTTTTTTGAAGTATGAGCTGGTGCTCCATCCTGGATAGTTTCTGTTTAACCAGGGAATGACCTTCTCTTGCAGGAGGTGGATATATTCATTACTGTAAATTTTTTGATCTTTTTTCACAAAAACTGGTGGACACTTTTTTCATCACTTGCTATCACGTCAAGTACCATCAAGAAGCTGGTTTTTTTGATGAATATGAATACCTGATATTCTCAGGGGATTCTTTTACTAGATTAGTAACTTTATGCACAGTGAAAAGTTTTTCATCAGAGAAGATTGTCACACGCCCAAGGTAAGATTTTCGCCAATTTAACAATTTTTTGTATCGCTCTTTCCCAATTTCTTTCTGTTTATTAGTGATAAGATGCTTAGTCACTACAGCTCTGGATTTAAGTTTCAAATCTTTCATAACTTTTTGCATTGTGGAGTTGGCAACATTGGCTTCCCTTGCCAACTGGTGGATGGAGTGCAATGGATTTCGCTTGACTTTTCTTTTGATAGACCTTAAAAGCTGAGGTAATCGTTTCACAGGTTTTGGCTTATTAAAAAGTCGTTTGATATCTCCTGTTTCATGAAAAATTTTTCTTACTCAAAAAATTGCTGTTCTGGAGCAGTTTAAAGCCTTTCTGATATCTGATGTAGTCTTATCCGATTGCAACATTTGCAGAATGCTTCTTCTTTTTGATTCTTGCAGATCCATTTTAATTAAATTTTTTTAATTTTTACGTTTTTTTATTTCTGAGTTGATATCATTGCGTAATTTGTAAACAAATAGATCCACGGATATCTACAAGCATGGATAGAGCCTTAAATTTGAACGTAATGCAGTTGCGTGGTCACCCGGTATAATAAGAGAAATATTTATATTATAAAATATTAAAACCTAACTTTTTGGATTCAATTTAGGCCCTTTATCTAATACTTTCTCGTTTCCCCAAACATTAAAAATATTTTTCTATTTTTTAACACAAGTTTAAAAAATAGAAAATAAAAGCATTTATGAAAAATATTCTAAAACCTTTTTTCAACCTTACTTAGAGTTTGTGTCATAAAATTCACATTAATCTCATTAACCCTCATTACCTACATTAATAACATTAACCCTCATTACCTAAATTTATCTCATTAACCCTCATTATCTACATTTATTTTATTAACTATCATTATTACTTGTATATTAAATAAATGTTAATTCAAGTATTTTTAAACTTTCAATTATTAACAAGTTAATATTAAATAAAACTGCGCAAGCAGCATTTGTTTGAAACTCTTAATCTGTTACAACAAACAATAACAAAACTTTCAAATTACTATACTATTATCGGTTCTAATTGTAATTAGAACCGATAATAGTATAGTAATTTGAAAGTTTGCCACCTTTTACAGAGAAAAATTGCCACCTTTACAGAGAACTTAAATGGTCTTAAATACCTTTACAGAGAACTTAAGTGGTCTTAGTTTTGAATCAGGTTGATATTTTTAAAATTTGAGAGATACCGTCTAATAAAAATGCTTTTTGTTTCACCTCAGCACACAGTGTATCACTTTATACAATCTAGGTGAACAAATGTCAGTTTACGGAATCGACTAATTGATAATATTTTCACAATTACAACCCCGCAACAGTAATAATTTGCGGTGTTAATTATAGAAAACATTTAAAAGCAGTAAATCATAATCAATTAAAAAAATGTAAAAACGTAATTTCATTTAAAAAAAAATTAGTTTTAACAAATTTAAAGCGTTTGTAATACTATTTAACAGTATCATAGTCATTTTATTTGATGGATTTAACAGGATTTTAATACAGAAGTCATTTTATAAGAGTGATGGATTTAACAAGATTTTAATGCAGAATTCATTTTATTAGAGTGATGGATTTAACAAGATTTTTATGCAGAAGTCATTTTATTAGAGTGATGGATTTTGCTTTAGAGAGTAATCACTAATTAAATATTTTATTAAAAGAGAAGCAGTATGTGTTATAATATGGTTTGAAAAATTGCGTTAAAATTATAAAATCTTTTTTTGTTTTTTAACTTAAACAACTTCCTGTATCCACATGTATCCAAGATAGTTTTTTACACCTTTCCTAATTTCACTGCTTTTTAAGTATGTCCAAACTACCACAACAAAAATGTTTTCAGACTCAGAGGCTTGTTAGAACACCTTCCACATTACGTAGAGACTTTAATTTTTTTTTTATAACATGATCCACCTAATATTTTTTATAAATGTGATTCATTGTTGCAAGATCATTGTTGCAAGATCACTGTTGCAAGATTGCAAGATCATTGTTGCAAGATCACTTGAATCACGAGAAATAATATATGAATTTTTTTTCTCATTTTTTATAGGTTTAAATAACTTATATATTGAAGTGTAATAACCTGCAAATATATAGTTATATATTTGCACATTCTAACATCTAGTGTGATATTTGTTCACTTTCTTTATGTAATCTTTCGAACTCAATTTCTTCTGATTTTCATTTTAAAGTACTACGTTTTTCTAAAACCAATTTTAACACTTAATCCAGTCTTCCATGGAGATAATCCAGTCTTCCATGGAGAGATCATAAACTTTTCATCGCAACCTAATACAACAACAGCTTTTTATTTTTTTAAATTTTTAAAATTAAAAACAGTTATCACAAACAAAACTCAGGGACATGCTTTCACCAATTGTGCACTTCTTGTGCAACCAGGACTTACATTAAACTAAATGTTAAAAATTTAGAAATATTAATGTTCTGGCTGCTTGAAGTTGAAACTTTAAACGTTTGAAATTACCACACTAAGATTATTCGACAATTTTTAAAGCCTGTTTACATTGAATGTTTTTGTCTTTATCGATGACTGAAATAAAAATTTTCTAATTTTTAGGGCCGATTTTCACTGAATTTTTTTTTTAGTTTTGAGATATTAATTTTTTGCTAATAACAAGTAAAAATAAATAAACAGGGGAGTCTTAATAAGCTTAGAGTGGGTGAGAGAATTTTCTAAAAATTTATAAACGTCTATCCTCCCCCCCCTCCTTTCTCCTAGTATTAAGGACTCTAGAGTATATTACATTCATGGAAAGTTTAAGCAGAACTGAGTTATTAATTGTTTTTCATAGTTCTTTTTAGATGTTCTTGCTAAAGAACTGAATTTGACATTTGGGCTAAAGCAGAGAAAGAAGAAAAAGAAAAAGAAAGATACAGAGCGAATATTTAATCACGACGTAATAATGCAGTTTGTCAGCTATTTTTAATTTTTTCATTATTCAGCGTTTGTCAATTTTTTCTTTTGTCAGCTTTTATTAATTTTTACCCCACGGACAAAAACAATTAAAATACAATTAATCTATTGAGATTATACTAATCTACCTAAACTATAATACGTGTTAAAGACTCCTTCATTTTGATACTATGCAAAAAAATTTACAAAAGGAGTAGTTTTATTTCCATAGTATCTACAATAGGAATGTTTATCAGGAAAAAAGTTGTATGAAATAATTAGAAAATTTTCTAATTATTTCATATAAACTTTTTACACTTCATTACACTGTTCCACGTCCAAAACGGAGCATGGGGCCTCGTCTCAGCAGTTGAAAAGAAATGGTCAAACATCTTTTTCTATTTTTCCGTTTTAATCATGTTCGGAGTTCCCCCGCATTAATCTACTAGCATAACTTTAAGCTAGAGAAAGTAGAAAAGAAAAGCTTATTAAGGAATAATAATTATTTATAAAATATTTTTTTTTGAATACAATCATTTATAAATTATATATTTTTTGAACACACTTTTTTTTTCAGTTCGAATAAAATGTATAAATTATAACTATTTAAAAAAACCAATTTTAACAAAATACACTTTTATTCCAATGGAATAAAATACAGTTTTATTCAATTAGACTAAAAGGAGAAATTAATTTTTTGTTTAGATATGACCCAATTAAGCTAAAATTTATAAAACTGTTGCTTGGAAATTCTAAAATTTTTACATCTAAATTTTTTGAAACACAAGAATTGAAAAAAAACACAAGCATTGAAAAGTTGGGGCTTTTTTTCAATAAATAGTTTTATCTTCATGATCGCCTTACTTTGTTTAATTTTCTCCTCCTTCTTTCATCTAACGTGTAAGCCCCGCAATTTTATTGCTCTTGCGTATCAATTAATTTAAAATAAAATTTAAAAGTTTTGTAAAATTAAGCTCAAAACTCTAAAGAAAAAAATACTGTTTTTATCCTTTTTAGTCCAATTGAAGAAAGTTTTCATTTTTTAAATAATATTTCCGTGCTATGTATATGTATTTATAACAGGAATATATATTCCTGTTACTGCGAGCAAAATACTTCTACATAGCACAGAAGTTATAAAAACATGCCTTTTTATAATCGGACAACTATTTCCTTAGAACTAACTCCGAAGATACTAAAGAAGCTCGCAATAAAGATTTTTGTTAATTTCGCGAGCACCATACAAGAAAAGGCTCACGTATTTCTACAAATAACAGATTTGATCGATATGCTTTTGGTAAAACCAGAGCCTGCCATTAACTCAAACAGAGAAGTGTCAAGAAAGAAAATGGGTAAATTTTCGTTGGAAGTTTGGAAGTTGTAATTTTTCAAATTAATTTAATTGTTCTATCTGTAATACCACCACCTGCTGGTTGAAATATAATTCTGTGTGACAATGAAGATTATTTAGGTCCGATTCTTCGGAAAAAACTAAAACTTCCTAAAACTTAAAAATAAACAAAAAATGCCAAACTGATCATTAACATACCAAAACATTATAAACTACATTCTTAGAAATCAAATTGGAGAACAAAATATTTTAGTCCACATAGCTTGTATGAAGCAATACACTGTGCGGCATGCTATTCAAAACCTTAATTTTTAATGTTATTTTTTGGGAAAACATCAGTAGTATCTAACGGGAAATAAGTCAGACCTTTTTATCTCCTCTAACTTAAAAGTGTCTCTGCAAGCTCTAAGATAATATCTTTTGTCTCTGCTGGCTCCAAGATAAATTTCCGTATCGGTAAAAGAATACTATTTTTTAAGCTTTTCAAATGGATCAAACAACTTTTATTAATCATTAAAAAGGTAATTTTAGATAAATTTACCTGAGTTTAAGATATTGAATGCCAGAAGGATACCATTTGTAAGATTAAGAACATTATTTGGTTTTTCAATTTTGTTAATAGCGATTTGCATTTTTTCCTTATTAAACTTTGTTGCTTGAATAAGATATGGAACGCATGGTTCTATAATTTTTGCTTTGTTGCTAACAGCAATTACGTTGAAATAATCATTTTCTCCCAAAGCATCAATAATCATTCGAGCAGCTATCTTTGCTATAGCTAAAAAGTATATAATCATTATTTTTTTAAACATAAATAAAAATTCTTCATTACTTTATACAATGTCAAAACACCAATGTTTGATACTGCAGAAAGAGAAAGGTTTCCGACTAAAATATTATAACTGCAATTATTAACAAACATTACATTTTTTTAAATACATTTTAAATAAATAAAAATGCATTTTAAATTTTTTGACCTATTTTCATGATTATGTTTATTACTAGTTTTATTATTGTTGTTATTCAAATTGAAATTATGATTTGTTTTTGATAATTTTTTAATTTGCTTAAAAATATGTAGCGATAGAGGCGCTCAAAGTAAAATTGCAAAAAATGCGCGGGGTTAACTCCTTAGTTTTTGATGAAACGAGAACAATATCGTTCAAAAAAAGATTGCGTTTCTTCTTTTAAATCCTTTTTTTATCGTTTCAACAAATTAACTTAACTTGCTTTGTAAGCAATAATTTTAATGTTTGATCACCACTACGTCCTCGTAGTTCTGCTCTTAACTTGTTTTTCAAGGTTCGTGTTTTCAATGCTCGTGTTTTCAAAGTTCGTCTTTTCAAGGTTTGCGTTACCAAGATTTGTGTTTTGGAGTTAAAGGTTAAGAACAAGAGTTGTAACAACAACCAATATCAAAAATAAAAATTGAAGCTCATTCCAATAATAATAAACCTCATGGTATCATTAAATAGGTGATAATACTCCATGGACCCGTAGATATTGTTAATGGAAAAATTTACTAGTACCATTATTATATTGAATCTTTATATTGACTGCGAACAAGTCAGTATGAAATCTCGACAACTTTCAAAAATTATAAACTCGTTACTGCCAAAATTAAAAGTAACAATCAACACCGAAAGTAAAAAATATGAACACAACAAAACCATACCGTTTCTATATTTAAAAAACAACCGTCCAAATCACAAAACTTACGCCAAAAGTACTATATAAAATCTGGCATACCCAAAAATATAATAAACTTACTTTAAACCACTCGAAATGAAACATTATTTTAAAAAATGTATGAGTAACATCGCCGAAACGAAATACACACAACAGAACAAATAATAAAGCAGATGAAATACTAATCAAATTTCTATAAAAGGAGGATATACAACCAAGGAATTCTATTCCTAATGTATGAAAGCAAAAGAAAGCTTCTCGCCCATGAAATTCACCAGCAAAAAAGTTCAGCCAATAATAAAATACTTGACTAAACTCATTAACATTATCTACCCACATTTTCCATACCTAAAGATCACATTCAAATACCTGCAAATCACATTCAAAACTTTTCTTTTTTGAATCATCACAAAGTTTGTATAGGTATAATTTTGGTAAAATTATATCTATGCAAAATATATTGTAATAAACAAAAGTTGTTCCACCAGAAGAAAAAGTTTTCAAGGATTGCGCTTTTGGTAGAATTCCAAAACAGAGTTAAAAAAATACTGAATGAGGAATACCAAATAGCAAGAGATAATGATAAATTAGCAGCAATAGGAATAACGCTTTGGGAATAGAAATAGGTATTCGTTGTTTTTTAAACTGAAATGCCCAGTAACCATAGTAACTAACTGGTTAAATGATAGACTTTTGAAACTGACAAACACTTTTTTATTTAACATTTTAAAATATTTCTTTTAGTTTAGATAGGATAGGGCGGGGCTAGTTGGACAGTTTTTACTAAATTTAACAGATCTCTTAAACATTACATCCAAATAATATAATTTTTTCACTATTTGAAAGATATTTTGATCTGCTAAAAAATGGTTGAGACAAAAAAACTTTTTTCGATTTGTTTTAGAAAATATTGTCTAAAGTTTATTAGGCTGTTTAACCTACCCCAGTGGGGTAAGTTGAGCAATAAAAAAATAAATGCATTTCAGTGACAACTATTAACACTGTTATAAAACCAAAACAAAACTCCCTTATAAATTAAATAGATACTTTCAATTTTAACAAATTATTTAAAATGTGAATATCAAAACTAATAATTTTGATACTAAAATAAAAACAAAAACAAAACTTTTTAATCTTAAAACTAAACACAACTTTTTTTAAACATTTTAAAACTTGTAAATATTATAATAAAATAATAACTAAACACTTTATGTTAGTCTTCAATTTCCATTTTGCAGTTAATACAAATATAATTTTAACCAGAATGTGAATCACATTTTGAATGAGACCATAGATTGCAACCTTGACACTGGATCCAATTTTCTTCTGGTAGACTTTCAGAATAAGTTTCTTAACATACAAGACAAGCTTAATCGTGTTCTGCACTTGTCTTTAATTTTTTCGTCATCTTTGTTTTTTGTTTGATTGTTTTTTAACTTTTTAAATATACTAAGCAGCAGAGTCTCCTTATTACCATGATCTGCAAAGGATTGACTGGCAGAACATTTTTTTGGTTTCTTTTAAATTTCTTTCTTCTCAGTTTTTTTGTTTGTTTGTTTCTTAAATATACTATGTAACTGAGTCTCTTTATTACCACACTATTAATATTTGAAAGGAATTGACAGGTAGATAATTTTTTTTGTTTCTCAACTTTTTTAGGTTTCTTAGTTTGCTGCTGTTTTAATATAATTCTTTCTGGAGTATCTGTTAGAATAGCAGCTTTCCTTTTTCTTCGTCTTGTCAAATGTATCTTTTTTGGTGCTGCTTTTGTGTAAGGTCGCACAGTTTCTGGAGAAAATGGTTTAGGAGTTTCAGGAATTAGTAACATTGTCTCTTTATTAATACTACTTTTGACAGATTGACCTGAAGATGATGTTAAACATACTTCAGAATGAGCTACGTGTGATAGCTCAGAAACAAGATTTGCTGGTTCTAAACGATCTGTGACAAATGATGGTAAAAAATCATCATCAGTAAAAATGTTTGCATTGTACGGGTATACACCAGTTTTTTGAAAACCCTTTGTAATGTTAGTACACGTTATAGCTAATGGCAATGAATCAGATACAATTTTTGGTATATCATAAATTGTTATGGCTTTTCCAGGATTGTTTCTCAGCCATGCATCTTGTGCAACTGATAGGTACTTTTTAAAAGGTCCAAACACTGATACATCTAGTGGCTGCAGCTTATGGCTGCAGTGTGGTGGGAAAGACAATATGACTATTCCATTCTCCTTTGCTAAGTTTAGTCTTTCAAAATGCAAGTGAGAAGAGTGATTGTCCAAAATTAACAGAATTTTATATTCATTTGAAGGCTTCACATGCCTAATCAAATGCTGCATAAAATTTTTGAATTCAATATCTGTAACCCAGCCATTTCCATTACCTACCCCAATACAGTCCGGTGGACCATTATTAACAAAATAATCTTTGTAATTTTTGGGAGGGAACACAAACATTGGAGGAACTGTATTTCCTGAGGCAGATACAGCGGTTACCATTGTGACATTAGTGCCTCTTTCCCCAGATGTCATAGCACCAACATTTCTCTTGCCCTTAGCAGCCACAATTTTACTAGGTTTTACAACTGTAGATACACTAGTTTCGTCAACTTTCCATATTTGTGAAGCACTGAATTTGTATATATCCATAACTTCACCTAGCTTATCAAAAAATACTTTTACATTTGCAGCGTTAAATGATGTTGCCCTACCAAGGCTAGTTGCTTCAGGTTTCATTATAGATAGGCAATGTAGTGTTTCAAAATTTAATTTGTCGCAAATTGTCGCAAATTCGATTCACGAAAATGTGATAAGGAAATAAAGTCGTAAATTCTTGCATTATTGATTGTCAAATAAAAGAATAAGGAATAATGTTGCAAATGAATTTCATGAATAGTGTCGAAAATAAAAAAAAGGAATAATGTCGCAAAGGAGTTTAATGAATAGTGTTGAAAACAAAACAAAAAAAGTAGTGTCGCAAATAGTAAAATCGGAATAGTGTGGAAAACAAAAAAAAGGAGTAGTATCGCAAAGAAATTTAATGAATATTGTCAAAAATAGAATAAGGAATAATGTTCTAAAAGAGTTAAATGAATAGTAACAAAAATAAAAATATAATAATAACTGTAAATGTATGTTTAGATAACATGTCTGATGTGATACTGAAATAGCCTGCTGCCGGGGGCTTTAATACATGCACTAACTATTTTATAGCCTACTGCCGCAAAGGAGTGCCGCTACATCGACTAAAGGTTTGGGGTTTGGTAGCAATCTTTATTATTATTATTATTTGTTTGTTTTTCTGTAAAAGTCACATGCTACAAAGATAAGCAAACGAGGAAGCAATTGCTGAAATTTACTATTTACGACACTATTTCGTTTTTACTATTTGTGACACGATTATTTTTTTTGTTTGTTTTTGACACTATTCATTAAATTTATTTGCGACACAATTCCCTTTTTTTTTGTTTTCAATTCTGTTCCTTAAATTAATTTGCAACAAGATTCCCTTTTTTTATGCGACATTAGGCTTTATTAATATATTTGACACTGTTCTAAATTTCATTTTTTGACATTATGCCTGTCATCCATTTTTGCAATAGGTTAACAACTTTGAATCAATGTAAATGAGCAATAAAGTAGAATGAAAAAAATTGGAACTATTCTACTAATTAGTATTATAATGTACTAGATGTTAATGTAGATGTAATGTAAATGTTACTATGACTCTTTTCATCTTGCCACAAACAGAAGCAGAGAAATTGCTTTCATCCTCTCTACACAACGTTCTACAGTCTGCATTGGTGCGATAACTTTTTTATAAAAATCAGTTAGTTGAATGTGTTTAATTCAATTAGCTTCTTCCAGGTGCTCATCCGTCAGCTGCATATATCAACACCCTTGTATTTTTATCCATAAAATTGAGTAGGAACTTGGAACACTTTTTTCATTAACTTTCATACTTATTTCTTCTTTAGCTCTTTGAAGACGCTTAACATATAGTTCTTGGATATGTGGCTCATCTAATAACACTAACAGAAGGATTTTTTCTAGATAACGGAAAAATGTATTTGTTTGTATTAATTTGTGAACTATTTTACGTAAAGTGGCCTGAAGGTATCGTAATTTGACTATTGTGCTGTACAAACACTTGCTGCCATAGAGGATAAAAGACTACTTTTCAATAATAAACCGCATTGAGGCATAAATACGCATAATGAATGACGCTGTTAGAAGCATTTAATGTAAAGATCCAGTTGGTAGCGGTGAGCGGTAATGTAAAGATCCAGTTGGTAACTTTTATGTGAAAAGTGATATTTTATAATGGTTTAACTGTTTGTTCAAAAAACAGACTAGTTACAGAAATATAAAAAAAGTTTTATTTAAAGCAGTTAACGCAATAAAAGCAAATCATCACTTATGAACCAGAATTTCAGTAATTGTGATTTCCTAATTGTAACTACTTTTTTGATAGATCTAAATTAGGGATGTCAAAATTCGTTTATTTAAGTTGGAGGGTGCGTTACAAGTATTAATTAAAAGTAAGTTTTGCGCAGCGCCCTCCTTCCTAAATAACCAAATCTGAACTAGCAGTACCTTTTCATCACGGTGGTTTTATTAAATCGAAATTCTGGTGCTGTACTAATGGAAACTTCTGATTTTGGTACTTATCCAAGTTAACGTTAGTAGTATAACTTTTATTACTATTTAAAATACTATTTATATTTTGAATATTTTAGCTTTAAAACGTAGAAATAATTCATTAAAACTAATAAATTTTAAAATAAAAAGTTTAAAGCTTTTCATAATCTGATGTATCTTTTTGCTGTAAGTATAAATTCTGCATTAAATGGCAACTTAATATTATAAACCTAATAAAATTTACTTTTAATACTAATAAACTTGCTATAGTCAGTAAATATTTTAAGAAAAAATCTTTTCTTAAAATATTTAAGAAAAGATTTTTTCTTAAATATTTTAACGGAAAAACGGTCTTCTACGAGTCCCCGCGTTCTTTTGTTTTGTAATATTGATCATTATATACTTCAATCTGTTATTATATTTTTATATTTTATATCGGATTGCTTTTTATTAAATCTAATAAAAGAACAAAAATTAAAAAACAATTAGAAAAGTATTTCTAAAATATGCGCGTTTTTGTTAATATAATATGATAAAAGTTAATTTTTTTTTTACTAATTAAATTTAAACAAATTTTTATTTGCTCAAAAAAAAAGCTTTATTTGGAAAAAACGAGACACTCGAATTCTTATAACTTAAAAAAAAAAAAATCTAAAAGTCTCTATAAAAATAACTTACAAAAACTTTTTCCAGTCATCGATCCAGATCTATCAATAACAATAACAACATCTTTTGGACTAGAGACGCTTTGTTGATACCAAACACGACGTCTGCAGTCATATAAGTCGGATCTGTTTTGTTTCATAAAACTTATTTCTCCAGGAAATATTCGGAAAAGACCTAAATTGCAAAATTGCAAAAAAAAAAGCGCACCGATATATTTCATAAAAATCTCTCTCCGCCTCTTTATAAAATATATACAAACTCGATAGAAACTTGCTAATTTAGTAAGGAATAATAATTAAAACTTAATTTGGTAAAAAGAAGTTGATGAACAGAGTACTTTTTACCTCGCTAACCCCAATCCACACACCCTAACACACACACTGAAAACCGCGCTCCCACGCCCACAACTTCAAAAAGTTTAAAAAAATGAAAAAAGATTTCAAAGATAAAAAAAGGTTTTCTAACATTTGTATATAATAAATAGTAGCTATTTTACAAAAAACACGATTTATTTAAAAATTTCCTTAAGACTGTGCTGTTTTTTGAACAACCATGACTTAATAATTACGCAAGAAAAACTTTTTTCTTAAGAGTTTTTTCCGTCACCCGATCTTTTTTTTTTTTGTTAGATAAATATATGTAGCTCATAACGTTTAGTTACAAAATAAATATAGCTCACAATGTTCGGATAATGCTAATTTGTCACTACATTTTGGCCACTAAAATTTAATTATAACTGAAGTATAAGTAATGAAGTATAAGTAATGTAATACTAAAAAATATATTTGTAATTTTGTGAATTAAAAACTCGTCCCTTGCTTACCTGAAACATCGCAATAATATTGAAAGTAAAGAGAGCTGTCACTGTTCATATTGTATTTAAATATTTTATCTAGGTTTTGAGTCCATTTCACAGCGTTTAATATTTCTTTACTTCTTTCATCAACACTCATGGGAACATGGACATAGCTTAATGTGTCATTAATAAGATCATCAGTTGGAAACTTATTTACTACTTGTTGGAAAGTTACATTTGATTGTGATTCAACCTCAATTATTGCACGTACGTTTGGATAGTTAAACTCTGCGATACGCGAATCGTATTTATAAGTCTTTTTTATCTCCGTTATATTTTTTTGTAGATTTTTTAATATTTTTTCTTTTCCAGAAAAAAAGCTTTTTACACGAGCGATGAACTTGTCGCTTATTTCCTTTCCATTCCTTTTTTTAATTTCAACGTTTTCGGCAAACATGTTTAACTCTTCGTTTAATGCTTTGTAATTTGTAACTTTGTTTAAGTATTTATCTAATGTTTTTGAAAAAGTTTTTGCTGCTTCAGTTAATAATGAAAAGGTTGTGGAGCTTTGGTTACAAACAATACCCATCATTGAGATAACGCCTATGCATAGGTGTATACACTTCATTACGACCAAAACTTTATCATTTAGTTAGCTTAATAGTTTGTTAATGAAAAATCTACTTTCGTTAAGAAAATTGTTCTGTTTCCATAAAGTCTTAATATTATATTGTATAATTTTTTAAAACCAAGGAAATCAACAAACTTTAAATAAAACAAACTTTAAATAAAACAAACTTTTAAATAAAACCAACTTTTATTATACTTCAACAGAAAACTAAATTAAAACTGAGATTGATAAACTGAGATTGATAAACTGAGATTGATATTTAAGTGTAAAATTTTCTGAAAATCAACTGAATGTAAATCTCATGTCATAATTAAAGAGAAATAGAGATTTGTTACATTGAATAAAATGTTTGCCATTCGGTAAACTTGTTCTCAACCAAAACTGACAAACAGTTTAAATTTTTAATAAAATATTACAAAACTATTAATTAAAATTTAATCGGTTTATCTATATATTTAAAAGACCATCTGCTGAAAAACTTTAAAATATTAAATGGGTTGACGTGCATATATATGCATTTGCGTGCAGTTAATGTGAGTGCGTTGTTGAACTGCCAACATGCATTAGCTTAATTTATTTGATGCAGTCCACACATTTCTCTTTAAGAAGTAGAAAAATAAATAAAAATGGTAGCTTATTAGTTTTATAAAATTTCATCAAATATTCATAATATGGAAAGATCTAAAAGTGTATATAAAGTTGTTTAAAAAAAGGGATGAATTGGAAAATGGAGATATGTGGAGCTCATTGGAGAAAAAAAGAGAAAATACTATCGATAAACACGACATTGCTATTTAAACTGAACCAATATAAAAAAATATTAAGTAAGAACATTCATAAAAGAAGCTTGAAAAACCCAGTACAAAAACCCAATTGTGCTGAAATAAAGAAACAACACCAAATCAACAAAGAAGAAATTATAACTATAAAAATTACAAACTACTATATTCAATACTTTTTTGCTTTTTTTCATATTATAAAATATTACTTTAATGACACATTAGGTGCTCTGTGATAATTCAGTAAGGACTTCTTGGGGGCACCTAAATAATTTTTTTTTTTTTTGCATTAGTTGCATTGTGCAACAAATGCAAAAAAATGCATTGTTTTTCAAACAAAAATGTAATGGATTTCTAGCTAACATATTTTTCTTTATTAAAAATTAGATGTCATTCTTTTAACATCGAAATTTTGCGCCACAGATTTTTTCACGGGTAATAATAATATTTTAACTGCGCAAAAATTGAATAACGTTTTAGTTAGATGAGAGCCGCTGTTTATATGCTATTAGTTCATATAAATTTACTCTAATTGTACTGATCGCCGCATAAAGTCGATTCAAAAAATTCAAAGCAACTTGAACTTTTCAGACCACTTTAATAATTTTGGCTAATAGACAAACATTTGCACACACCAATGTTGACGTATACAACAACCTTGATAATTTTTTAGTTCAGCCGCGAACAAAAAACGTTTACAAATCAACATTAAAGCGCCATGTTTGAAAATAAGAACATTAACACGAGCAAAAAAAAAAAAAGGCGTTATTGATACTGACGTAAGCGAACCATGATGCGTAACTGGGTCAACGTAATATCAAATTAAACTTCAAAATAAACTTTAAATAAAAATGATCTTTCGTATATAGGTTTTCCTATTATCCGTGGATCTGCAAATTACAAAACAGTGAAACAGCTTTATATTTTATCGAATCACAATGTTATATAAAATGCAAACTCACTTTAATAAAAATAATTTGCGCATTTTGCAGTCAAAATGTTGATCTTTTGTTTTCAAAAGAAACATTTTTGTTTGACCAAACCTTGCAAATAAATTTTTTTTTTTAAGGTTACCGACGCTAGAGGCAGATTATTGACATTGGTGGACAAATTAACGACATTCGAAGGCAGATTACCGATGTTTGGTGGCATTTAAAAATAACCACAAACGATCAAAGAACTTTCGATTAAGAAAAATGCGAAAGCGTTATATGTTTCTTTTTCCAAAAATTTGTTTAATTTTGACAAATCTTTATTTTGTTTAACTAAATAGAAAAAAAATAAATTTAATTAAATGTATAATGAGATTAAGGGAGAGTGAGGTATTGGCGAAAAGCTAAGCGTGAAAGTGAAAGACTCAAGTTATTCGAAATCATGTTTATTGCTTATCATTTAAATTTTATGAAATTTTCATTGTCCTCTATATCTAGTATTTTTCTTTAAATAATAAAAATAAGGTCTTTAAAAAATAAGCGTGGACCCCCTGGGTTCCCCTGGTATCATTGGCTCTGTCTTTTGTATATTAAAATTTTTAAAACTTATAAACAAACGTCACAAACAAAACACCAGGACGTGCTTTAACCGATTGTGTACTTCTCGTTGAATTAGGGCTTGCATTAATGACACATGATCCAGTGTTCTGTGAGCGGATTCTGATATTATTTTTTGCAAACTAAACAACAAATTTTTGTTTTACCTTGGGCACTCTTATTTTCTTCACGTGATTGTAAATTATCTCTAATTGATTAAATTCCTTACTAATTTTCTTTTGCTCTAAATTATTTCTCATTTACGAACTAGTAATAATAAAGTTTTTCTTCCTTAAATATTCTCAGCTTTTCTTTTTTAGGCAATTTAGATACAGAGATAATATTTGAACAATTTATCGGTTAAATTTAAATGTAAAAAAAGTTATTATTCTGACCGCCTGATGTCCATGTTATGGCACTATCGAAGTTCGAAATTACCTTATCAAGATTGCTTGTTATTTTCCCACGGACACAAATTATTGAAATACAATTAATCTATTGAGGTTTTATTAAAGTTTACATTGTGGGGGACCTAAACATTAATTTAACATTTCTTATATTTTCTACTCCAAAATAACGTTATTCCAAAAATAAACATGCCGACAAAAGTAACCATAACTCTTCCACGCTTCTTGATAACATAACAACGAATAATTTTTGTGATGATCAGCAATGTACTGGTATAATGAAGAGTGATCACTCTGATTATTTCCCCTCATTCTTAGTTTCTAATTCAATAATGAAAACCCCTTAAAAAAAATTAAAAATCTTTTAAAAAATAACATCAATTGGGATCTTATTCAAGAGTCGCAAGAGGTTAAAAATGCATACGATTTATTTCTTAAACAGTGCTCCAAGTTATACGAAAGAGAATTTCCGGAAAAAATGTTTGTCATAAAAACTATTCCAATTCCGTATAAATCCGTCGGCCAACTTATTCTTCATAAACTAAACAAATATTGTATGATAAATAATTGTAATATTTCTATAGAAGAAAACGTATATTAATAAAAAAATATACAAAAATCTTTTTAAAAAAATAAAAAAAATACTCCAAAAAAGTTAATTATGCAAAATTATTAGAAAAAACAAACGAAAACACCCCAAAAAAAGGCATTTTATTATTAAAATAATTGGAAAAAGCATTCTGATAAATAAAAAACTTCTAATAAATGGAAAATTAGTCTATAAAAAATCTTCTATTGCTTAAATGTTTGTCAGCTTTTTTGTTAAAGGCTAAGCTAAAACAAATCCGCTGAGTTCATCAAGTTTTATTTCTTATTTAAAAAGGTTCAGTACCCAAATTGACGAAACCGATCTTTAAATTTGCGAATTGCAACATGCTTTCAACAACCTTAAAAAAAAATAAAAGCGCAGGTTTTGATGAAATTAACGTCAAAGTTGTAAAATTTGTATTTTATGTTATTGAGCCATCGTTATTTCATATCTTTAAACTTTCTTTAAAAAAGGGTATTATTACTAATTTAAAAATGGCTCGAAAAACATCAATTTTTAAAGGAGGAGATAACTCCCTTATTTCAAACTATAGACCAATTTCTATCTTGCCGTGTTACTCAAATACTTGAGCGTATAATGTACAATAGACTCTACGACAATCTAAAAAAAGATCGAAATGCTGTAAAAAAATAGTTTGGTTTCAAAAAAATGCATTCAACTGAACACGCCGTAGTCGAGCTTGTCTACAATATGTCTGATGCTCTAAACAACAATTATTTTACATTAGGAGTTTTCATCAATCTATCTAAATCCTTTGATACAGTGATATACTGCTAACTTTAAAACTATGGCATTAAAAACAAAAATTTACTTTGGTTCAAAAACTAAAAAGCAGAAAACAATTCATATGCTATGATTTAAAAGTAACAGGTAAACACTAAATAACTTGTGGGGTTCCTCAGGGTTCTATTTAAGGGCCATTATTGTTTCTACTGTACGTAAATGATCTACATTTATCATCAAACCTTATAAGTTTAATTCTATTTCCTGATGATTCTAATCTTTTTTATTCACACAAAGATATTAAAATACTTTTTAAACACCTTAATGAATAATTAGAAAAAATTTATGAATGGTTTTTAGGTAACAAATTTTTTCTAAATACTGACAAAACTAAATTTATACTATTCCGTCAATCAAACCAAACTGATAAAATCCTATTGAAATTACCAACTCTTATTAAAAGCAAAACTATTATTAAAAAGAAATCTTGAGTTAACTTTTTAGGCGTGGAGCTGGATAAAAACTTACGATAGAATTTAAATATAAACAGTGTAGAAAAAATTTCAAAAACTATCGGAATGTTGTATTAATGTATAATGAGCCATTTTTTAATTTTAAATCACTAAAAGTTAATGATTTTAACATACTGTAACATTGCTTACTTAGTTACTTAACATACCGTAACATTGCTTACTTAGTTACTTAACATACTGTAACATTGCTTACTTAGTTACTTAACATACTGTAACATTGCTTACTTGGTTACTTAACATACTGTAACATTGCTTACTTAGTTACTTAACATACTGTAACATTGCTTACTTAGTTACTTAACATACTGTAACATTGCTTGCTTAGTTACTTAACATACTGTAACATTGCTTGCTTATTTACTTAACATACTGTAACATTGCTTGCTTAGTTACGTAACATACTGTAACATTGCTTGCTTAGTTACTTAACATACTGTAACATTGCTTGCTTAGTTACTTAACATACTGTAACATTGCTTGCTTAGTTACTTAACATACTGTAACATTGCTTGGGCAAATACTAATCATATAAAACTAAAAAAGCTTTACAGTAAACAAAAACATGCATGTACAATTGTATTTGGTGCTAAGAAAGAAAATCTTTGCAAACCTTTTCTGTGTTTACTTGGAGCATTAAATATATATAAAATCAAATTACATCAAGTTTTGGTATTTATGTATAGAACTAAGTTAGGATTGTCTCCAAAAATATTTGAATCCT